TTAGCGGGTAGCATTCTCATGAGCAAGTGTGGTTCAGAAGAAACGTGATGGTTGTAAACGACTAAACTCTACGAGCGAAGAAAAATTCCCACCATCCCATTTATGTGTGGATGTCTACAGCGATGTGGAGCAGAGCTGCTGCAGCTACTGTCTGGTTGTTGCTACGAGTCTGCTCCATCCACTGCCGAAGGCTTGTGGCAAGCCGTAGTAGCATATAATTCACAAATGTTTTACTTTGGGATACAAATTAGAATACATTATGTTGCCAACCTGTACATGTATAATATACGTATGTACCCTAAGTACTTTGTTACTGCAGAAATTATATGTTATTAGAATTTCCAGTACCTTTCTACTGTAACTGTTAATGAAATACATCCTACTGATTATATGCGAATATATTTAGATAGGTACTCAAATATTGAAATATTCGATAGCTCCAGCCCTAGTATATATATATATATATATATATATATATATATATATATATATATATATATATATATATATGTATATATATTCACAGTAATGAAATAAGCATTGGCAACATAGTTTTGCTCGCCTACTTCTGTCACTGTCTTACCATAAGTATGATCAAATATATTAAAATAAGTTATTATAGTGGAATTAAAAGTGTTGTAATGCTGAGCATTAGTTAGTTTAATGGTTCAACATATGTTGTAGAGAAAACTTGCACTCTATGACATGTTTATATAAAATAAATACATGTACAATGTTAAGTAGGTAAAAGATGAAATAGATGGCTGCAGTGGCAAATTTTGAAAACAAATTAGCTTAAGTTTTTTTTCATGCCTTCTTAACAACATTATATTCTAGTAAAGGTATACATATAGTGTGGGGATAAAAAAAAAATAAAAAAATAAAAATAATGCAGCTCTCTCGCTTTTGTCTATAAACGCCAATTGTTTTTGGACCGAAGGTAACCATTGAAGACCATGCAGTTGTTGGTCTGGCTGAACCGCCACACTTCCCTGGGTCTTCCATTCATCACACACTCTTGTATTTAACAGAGGTCCACTGGTTTGAGAGGTTTTCTGCTCAATAATATCAGAGAAGAAGAAACAGCCGGCTGCTACCACTTCAACTTCAAAACAAACTACGAGTCCCAATAGAAAAAGGCTGTTTGAAGTCACGGACAAAAAAAAAAAAAAAAAAAAAAGATGTTTGGACCTTTATAAACTGGTATTTAGCACTATCTTGTTTCTTCTGACGTTCCAAATTTCTGGTTCTGGTGTTCACGGATCCAGTCCAGATACCTAGTTTGTTCTGTAGATTCACTAAATCAGCTTTAAAAATCTATTTAAATTCTCTCCTTGGGCAAGTATTTTAGATGTGACACATCGTGGTATGCTTAAGGGAAATAAAAAAAAACATAAATTAAATGCTGCAAAAAGTGAAGTAACAGTCTGACAACTCTCACAGATAAATTACATAAAAGACTTTTCATAAAATCAAGCATTTTTCAAGATTCTAATGTTTAAAGCAGTATAATTAATCAAAGTCAAACCAAAGCTACGTTCAAGTTTTAATCAGGCTGTTTATACTGTATTCATTTAAAGTGGTAGAATAAGTGGATTCGTTTAACATGAAATAGAGACAGGGACCTTGATCATGTTCCTGGAATGAACAAAACAGGCATAAACAGGAAGTTTCAACAGGCTTTTGTCGTCTCGTTTTCTTAGAAAGATTGTCAGAAACAACAGGCACTCTGCAAAACAAACAACTTATGTGTTTTCATTTCTTATACAAATAAACAAAATAATGAAAACTACTTCTAGAATGTTGGTTTACAGGAACAAACACCTAAATCATCGTCCAACGCGAGTGGGTTTTATGTGCTGAGCAGACTTCCAGTAAAAATGTAACATTTCTCAAATACTGAACCATTCCTTTGAGTTAAAACTTTCATAAAATTACAAATTGCACCTTTTAAGCATAAGTAGAAGTAGTTGTGCTGTAGCTAGTCTGTGTTTAGTTTAAATGTAAATGTATTCATCTCATCTCCACCTGGAATGCTTCTGCTAGCTGCAGTCTGTTTCTGCGGTCTTTAGGTTTACGCTATCTTCATTAACAAAAGGCCCAAGTTCACGCTCATTACTCAATGTTTAAATAAAGATTTTTTTTTCTGAGTTTAAACAGAAGAAAAAAATTTTCAAAATGCATTCACCCATGTAGTCAAACCCCACGAAGGCAGCGGTTGGTGATTAGCAAACTAAGAGCTTTCCTGCTCCTGCGAGACCATACTTCTACACCACTCTTACTTCATTCTCTCAGTTTTTCATCTCTCGCCTTTCCTCTTCTCTTTTTGCCTCTGTGGAATGCCCTAACGCTCTGAAATCTGTAGTTTATTATCCAAACAAAGGCTTTTTGTGAATCCCGTAGAGTACGGAGGAAGGCTCTGTGGAGGGGGAAGGGACAGGCATGACTGAATCATAATGAGCTTCACTTTTTAAAAAGTTCATAAAAATAAGAGTGGTAGCCATTTTGGAAACAAGGTTGTTCGTAGAGGAGTCTGGTCTTCTCTGGGGTCTCTGTGTCTTACGACAGAGGTTCCACAAAGGTTCCGATCAAAAAAGAAACAGCTAATTGATGATGTGAAGGAGAGACTAAATAATGGATCATATTACGCAAAGAGCCACGGCAACATATGTCTTTTTCTGTTTTTATAACACCTTCCCACACCCAAAGCGTTTAAAAATGACAAAGGGCGACTAAGCGTTTCGCTCCGACGGGAGGCGATGTGCTGTGCCAGACGGTCTCTTTCCAACGCCCGCGGTAAAACTGAGATTTTAGCGAACTGTGACCTTTATCCTCTTGCAATTTAACCTTCCCCTCACCCCCATCCTAACCTTAACCCACTTGGACGTACAAAAATTAGTTTCTTCTCGTATCGTTCCTCTCAAACACGGTTAATGGGTAATTTAGAACGAGAAACTGGATTAAGGTTAGGATGGGGGTGAGGGGAATGTTAAATCGCAATAGGTTAAATGTCGGTGAAATGTTCGTTTTACTGCGGGCGTTGGTAAGAGACGCTCTGGCACAGTGTGTCGCCTCCCGATGCATTGGGAGCAAATGCCAGTAATGCTAATTTTACATGCAACCTTCTAGGTCCATCTCTGTAGACATTCTCATTAAGGACATAACAGCAGGTTGATCCAGCATCCCCCTGATTGCTGGACAGCCAGTTCTACCTCCTGAGTGACTGCTGCCCCAGCAGTGGGTCAGTTGAAGAAGAGAATCACATTTTATAATCTAATGGCATACTCGTGATTTTTTGTCGCATCAAAGTAAATTGTCCACTTGTTTGAACTGAAACCTAAACAACAATCATGTACACCCAATGGTGTCCATTTTAGGAAATTCTCAGGTGTCAGATTTCAGACCATAGAGACAAAAAGCCTCAGGTTTCATTCAAAGACCAACCGGACTTCTGACTTAATAGTGTCGGACAAAAAGGTCTCAGGAAAAAGTAGTCTGACAAAAAGGAATCAAGAAAAAGTAGTCAGACAAGAAGGAATCAAGAAAAATGGCTTCAGGAAAAAAGTTGTCGGACAAACCCTTCTCAAATAAAAAAGGACGATATTAAAATAACCCAGCAGAGGGCACCATTGTCACATCAAGGTCAACTCGACAAGATGTCATTAAAGTGCAAAAGCAGCAGCATAGGCTTCTAACTGCACCATCGTAGGTTTGACACATTCTGCATTTTCATGGTACATCTGCCACATGTTATGTTGTATGTAATATTTCAGGGGTATTTATTCCAGGCCTGGAGGGCCAGCATCAAGCAGGTTTTACTTTTAACTCTGCTTCAACATGCCTGATTTCAGTCAGCAGGTGATTAACAGGTTTCTGCAGAGCCTGATGAGCTGCTGCACAGGTGATTCAGCCACTGAATCAAGTGTGTTGGAGCAACACATTTTCACTCCCAAAAGCTGATGCTGGGTGACCAAGCTTTTGTTTACGACACTTAGGGAGTCCGAATGCACCAGAATCTGATGCTGTGTGACAGAGCATTGGATTCCGGCGCTCACGGAAAAACGCAATTTTTACCGAATTCCGACCTTTATCCTCCTAACCCTCCCTTCACCCCCATCCTTACCTTAACCCTCTTAAAAGGTTTGTCCCTGGTTGTAAGGTCCCTCTCCAACACGGTCAACAGGAAGTTTAGAATGAGCAACAGGGTTAAGGTTAGGATGGGGGTGAGGGTGAAGGTTAAATAGCAAAAGGTTATAGATTAAATGTCGGTGAAATGTGTGTTTTACCGGGGGCGTCGAAAACCGATGCTCAGTCAGTCAAGTGTCGGGACTCACTTGGGACTCCCAACGCTTCGGAAACAAACGCTTGGTCACCCAGCTTCAGTTTTTGATGCTTTGGGAGTGAGAATGTGTTGATTGGAGCAGAGGAACCACTACAACGTGCCGGATAGCAGCCCTGCAGGACCAGAATTGAATAGCCCTGTTTTATTGAGTTGCAGTGCACTTTTGAAAAGTACATCATCATAAATCATAGAAGACATGCACATTTTCTATGATCAAGTCAATCAAAGTGGATAATTTGTTCTTGCTATCAGTGGTGCTGGAGGTACTTGATTTAAATGTAAACAGTAAATTTAAATAGTTGTGCAATCATCCTGTTTATGTTACAGGGAATGGAAAAACTGAAGTCTTATGAGGAGCTAAAAAAGTTTGGGAAAATTAAAGAAAGTGATCTTGACAGTGGCACTAGGAAAAAAGAGCAAGGTCTTAAGTATACAAAGTGTACAAACATACACACAAAGTAAAGGATTACAAAGTTAAACACAGAACAAACATAAAACAGAGATACTTTTCTTTACATCACCATGACAACAAAGCCTGTGTCCCTTTGTAGAAAGCTGAATCATAGCATGTGAGATCCAGCCACTCTCTAGCCTTCGCTGCCGCTAATGTTATGGACGGATGCACTCATTCATTATTTTTCTTCTCTCGCCTTTTTAGACGGACTTTGAGAAGGACGTGGACTTGGCCTGTCAAACAGGTGAGTCATCCCATCCATCTGCTTTCCTAATGGCTCTCTCACTTTCCTTATTATCACACTCTCTCTCACTCGCTCACTCCACCCAGCTCAGGTTTAGTTAGCATTGCAGTCTGTTGCATCCTCAGTCTGCTGAGGAAATGACAGGAGCTTCGTCTCCACATGGCTGTGTTCAAATTACCAAGGCTGATCAATCACACTGATTCTACCCTATAAGTGTTCAGTGAGCATATGTTGGGACGAGGCTGTGGTTAATTGTGCATGATGATAACACTCCTCGGTGTGTTCAGACCGTCTCACTTGTTAGTTGACAATGGTCTGTGTGTGTGAGTGTTGGTGTTTCTCTTGTATTAACACGCTCATACCCCCACCCCCTTTTCCTTGCACCTTTGCCTTGCAGAAAGAGGACACCCATGTAAGTTTTGCACCCAACTTAACACACAGTACACTGTTCCTTACTGTGGATGAATCCGGGTTTTAAGCCTAATTAAATGAACTATTTTAAAAGATTTTCTTTCCCATAAAGAACGACTCAAGAGGCATTCATTTATCCTAGACACCATTGCATGTTTATTGAAACAACAAGTAGACTAATCTAAATATTAATACAAATTTTATTTTCATTTTGTTGGAGAATTCTTTATAACAGTTTTGATCTTTTTGTAGAGGAAACTTTTAAATATAAATGTAAGAGTTATAAATTATTTCAATTACATGGTAAATTGGCTTGCCCTACACACAGCGGCAGTAAGCATATAATTTGCAGCAATGGGAAGACTGATTAGCATTAGCGTTGCTAACACCAGTGCTTTTGTAAAACTGCATCTTGTAGCTTGATGCTCTGGTGTTGTTGAGGCTGAAGTAGAAAATACTTTAGTCTTTGGTGCTTTTGCTAAAAATAGTTCAACTTTCCTCCCTTTTTCCTCGTTTCTTTATGGCAGCAAACAGCACCATTCAGTCCAGTTTTCTGAAGCCATTTAACGTTATTTTCTATAAATCTATCATTTTCACACATTTATTTTTATTTATCACGTTTAATGAAATGTATTTAATATTTTGTAAAGTATTTAATATCGTTTGTCCCAGGAAATTTGCCCGAGTCCATTAAAATAAAAAGTCAGCGTTGTTTTGTCTTCATTTTGTTTGCTAATAAAAAAGAGAATCTGGGCTGGTGATGATTTCCTTTCTGCACCACTTTGATAAACACATTCACGCCAACGCCAAATAGAAAAAAAAGCGTATAATCACATTTTAAAGTTTTGAACGAGTTTTTTCCAGACTGATTAGCATTCACCTTTAATCAAATTAACTTTCACATTCTGTCACACGGAACAGTCCCGGATTCTTCTACAGGTCTGCCTCTGAGCCCTCGCTGTTTGATGCTGATAGCAGATCCCTGTAATTTCCCCATACCCGTCCAATCCTGTCTCACTGGTTTAGCACCAATGGCGTAAAACAACCCCTCAGCTCTATACTCGTCCACTTTGCTTGCAGGGATTGTCAGTGACAGATCACAGCTTTGGTTTCTGATCAAACATGCATTCTGACGTTTGGTTAACGTTGTGCGGTCTGAGCTGAAAGGCTCTGCACCACTTTAGCCTAATTGGGTTTTGGGGTCACTGCATAAATACCTTCCTGCAGTACGTTCGACGTGTGTTTGTGCATGTGCATAATTTGTGACATTAATGTACACATTTCTTGATTTTTCTCTTTAATTTTAAAACCAAACTGATTCAAGTTGTGAGATATTAGTTTCTTGTGAGCATGCTTGTATACTGCCTTCCATCGCATGAAGAAACTGGCGGCATCTAAGGCAGCCTCCATGTTTGTGCTTGTGTGTGCACGAGTGTGTATTCCCAGCATGTTTTTGGCTAGCTTGGTTTCACACATTTAGTTACATTAAATATATTTTAGCAGATCATTTATAAAGTGATTTTCTACCCTTGTGAGTCAGATTAAAGCTGCAATTCAGAGAGGTACTTCAGGGGCTGTTCTGTTTATTTGATGTTCCATTCCACCTTAAGCCTGCACACAGTTCCTTCAGTGGTGAGACAGCTTCAGTTCACGGTACAGTAGCTGTTCCGTTCATTTATGGCATCTACTGGGTTCTAAGAGCATTTTGCATGAAAACTAACCCAAAGCTAAGTCCATTGGAGAACAAATCTTAAACTCATGCAAATGTAGCATTTGAAAAAATGCTGCTTGTGATGCACATTTAGTATTTTCTCTAAATACAGAAAAGTAAGAAATATTGAGACTCAAATGTATTTTATGCAGGTGTGTCTGCCTACAAGTTATGAATAAATGTCTTTGTTACACATAAATCAGTTCCTGAATGGCCTTTGTTCAGAGAAATGGAGTTTGCATCCTAATAGAATGATAAGCTAACAGCCAGTCTGAGTGCAGCCAAGACCAAAGTGTAATCCGGCCACATTAAACCAGAACACCACCTTCAGTTTGGCATCATGAGGTTATTATCAGTTTGGTTATTTACATGAAACTCTGTGGATTTTACAAGCAAAGATACAGAAAAAGTATTGCCCAACATTAAACAGCACATCATTTCTTCTGTTGTCTTGAAATGACTCAGATAAATGTAGCACACAAGGTTCTCTCTGGGATCAGGTCCAATAGGATTTATCTGCTGGAATAAACATGTTAGGTGGAACGCTGAAGGGTTCCATACAACTCTAAAACCTTGGATCTGCGTTTGGACGGCAGCGAACTCCTCGCCGAGTTCAGACTAGCTGTTAGCATGTGCGTCTCCCCTAAGGTAAAAGCTATGCTCAGGAAGGTGAAATGATGAGGCCGTTTTTTTTATACGATGTTTTACTCAGAATCACACCTAAAAAATCCATTTAAAGTCAGCAGTCAGTGAGCAGAAATAAAACATTTGGCACTGTGAAAGCCTCTCAGAAGTTCTGAACATATCAGAGTTGCAAAACGGAGTTTAGTTTAGTTTGCGCAGCCCTCCTCGTTAAAACCCTTCTTTGATAAAAACCTAACATCCCCTACAGTCACTACTGAGTTTGTGTTCTCCCTCAAACCTTCAGTCTCTGCTGTTGCACTTTCAACAACTCTTCGTCCTCTTCTCCGCGTGTTTCACGCCACTGTTGAACTTTGCTGCTGTCTCTCCCTCAGTCATTTTCAAGGAGGTTAACACCTGTGACCCAGCCACCATCACTGGAACCCTGTCTCGAATTTCCCTGGATGATGAGGATGATCCAAAGCTTGCGGCTCATCAAGAGAGGGGAGTCGGTGTCAACTTCAGCTCCCTCCCTGGTAACATCCCACCTCCAAACCTCATTGTGCAGGTACGGCTTTGACCTTCATCCAGGCCAGCACATGTGTCGATACCAAGGTTTTCCTTAACTTGTGTGTCTACAGTAAAAAGAACAAGAACGAAAGGTGACTGAATACCACTTCTGTCCCTCAAGGTTCCCACTTTAGGAGGCCTCAACGAGCTCAACGAGTCGCCCCTAAAGAAGGAGGTAAACGTGGACCAGCAGAAACAGCAGGAGCAGCAACGCAGCACTGCTCCAATCTACCTGTGCACCGAGAGTGGCCTGGGATGGGCTCGACCGCCCACTTCCTCCAACAACTCCCAGGATGGAAGTGCAGGAAGTGGTGGAAGTGGAGGAGGAAGTGGTGGAGGAGTAGAGGGAGATTATATGGTCTTACCTCGTAGGACGGTCAGTCTTAAACCTCCAGGGCCCTCCTCTCAAGGAGGAGGCCTGGGACTGGGTGGCGAGGACAAGCCCCTTAACATTGCAGTGGAGGACCCTCCCTTCCCCCCACCTCCCTCTCCTCTCACCCTCCACCCAGCAGAGAGCGAGGCCTATCCAGCAGACTTTGTGCTGTCCAACGTGGGTGACATGAATATCACCATGAACCTAAACCGCTCCTATGGGACTATCAAAACTATGCCCCATGGGCACGGCCACTTGATGGCTCAGGGGGGTCATGTGCACTCCCACGGAGGACACATGCATTCCCACGGGCATTCACTCCACCTAAAGCCAGGCCAGAGGCCATCTGTCAGACAGATTCTGACTGGGGGAACGCCGGTGGAGAGAACCCGAACCCTCCCACGCAACCTGGGAAGCACCAACGCAAACAGCAGCCTCTCCGCAGGATCTCTAGAGGTGGGTAAAGGGTTGTGCAAGAAGGAAAATTAGGATTCCAATTAGAGGCAGAGTTTCTCCACACCTTTCAGCGAAGCTGATGTTTTACAGTTATTGATGATGTGGTGTGCCTACCTAAGTGATGGTACAGTGATGGATTGAAGAGGGAGGAAGCACTCTGGAAATGAGATCCAATTACTTAATGTCATACTCGGTCTATGCAAGCGTTTCAAACAGTGCAAATAACTGCAAATGGCACAATCTGCATTAAATGTCCATCGGTTAAAGAACGTTGTTGCAACATATTGATTTGGAAACAAAGTATATCCAACTTTTATTTCACCTTGAAAACTGTAGGAATTTCCTCCTAAACAAATCTTTTATTTTCTGTCTGTTTTTGCTTGTTGCCACACTTAAATGTTTGACAAAATCAATACAATACAATCCACCTTTATTTATAAACCATCATAAAAACCCAAGGGGGACAAAAGTACTGAATATTAACATATGCTACAAGCAATATTCAGTTATGACATTTATACAATTTAAAATGGTAAACAGAGAAGAAAACACATAAACAGTTGTAAACATGGGTGAAATCAGCACCACAGTGAGCAGAAATACCACAAAGAAACAAAATCAACATGTCATGTGGGTTTGAAGGCCCAGGCAAAGAGTTGGGTTTTCAACACAGATCTAAAAACAGAGAAGCACAGTCAGGCTGTCTGACTCCCAACAGCCTGATCTCCCTTTAGCTTTGTTCTAGCAGCTCTCAGGAGCAGCTGGTCAGCTGACCTGACAGAACTGGAGGGATACATTTCAACATCAATCAAAGATCATCTGAGTAAATAAAAAAAGTTTTTTTTTACATAATAAAGTTCTTTATTATGGGAACACTTGAGTCTCACATCACTGTGAGGGAAATCTATCCCGATCTTATTTTACAGAACTTATTTAATATTGGATGGTTTTCCAGAGTGCGCGGCCTGTTTAAGGGTCAAAGGTCAACTGTTCTACTGCTAGAGAGCAGACTCCATGGTTCCATCAGTTACAACAGGTGGTCCAGGTCCTGAAGCAGCAGAGCAGCCCCAGACCATCACACTACCACCACCATGCCTGACTGTTGCTGTGGTGATGTGTTACTGAAACTCAGTTTTACACCAGATGTACCTGCTGTTTCTTATTATTGACCTCTGACATTTACCTGAACAAGGTGAGCCCTGCAGTGTTTTAGATGCTCTGGGTTCTTCTTCTGAACGACTCGTTCTGTAGTGCTTTATGAGATATTTCATCCTACCTCATGTTGTCAGACGAGTTTTTTTGGGAGGGAATTATTAAATCGGACTGTACCGGTTATAGAAGGTCAGGGTGCTTTGGATCACTCCTTACATTTATCAGTGGGTTCACACTTTGAATTTACTGAGTTAGCCCTGGTCTGATCGAGATGTTTCCTCTATGCTGATCAGAAACGTTTGACTGTGTCACCAAAGCCAGAACAGAAGACAGGATGAAGGGAGCAGATAGTTTTCAATGTTACTGCAACTCTGTAATGAAAAGATGAGAAACATGACAGAAAAATGGATGCATGGCTTCTATGACCACAAGTGAATCCAACATTTTAAGTTTGTAAACATGGATTAAAGGAACAGTACACCCAACCCGATGGCAGCACCTCCCATGTGTGCTGGTGCAACAGCTGCTACTATTTGGAGCTGAGTCGTATTTATTGCTGCTGAGACAATGAGCGCTGAAATGAGCCATTCTCATAATGACATACGGCTTCTTATTATTTTACTGTCTCTGAGTGAAACTGTTTGTGTGCAATACCCCCTTCTAACCATTGCAAGGTGGCGAGGCAGATGGGCTGAGACTGAGGGGATCAGAGGAAACACCCCCTGCGAATGTCGTTTTTATAGCTCACCATAATGGTGCACACACGTCAGCAGCCACCATTATGCATACATACAGAGCAGCCAAGTGGTAACATCTAGTCCTCCAGTGGAAGCCTGCTGATGTCCAAAGTTGATTAAGATGGAAGCGTGGCTTCTGTTCAGGCGCAGATGCCTCATTTAGAGGTGTGGGTGGGATACCAATACCCAAAACACGCCAGAAATCATTTTCCTATAAATCACAGCTTTTATTCTACCCTGTTGGAATCTAGCAGATCTGAAGAGATGTGACAAAGAGGAAAAAACAGCAGTTTTGTGTCACAGATTAAACACAGGGACGTCTACAGGAAGAACATGACAGAATGTGTTCTTTTTTTAGTTTGTCTCTAAAGAGTCAGAGGGTTTATGATCTCATCCAAGCTGCTGCAGTCAGCAGAGATTTGAACATGGACAAGTGACTTGTCGCCGTGACTTCAGGTCACATGTAGTAGACAGAATGAGTGGGTTAGTAACTGCTTTATGTGTGTCCCCACTAAAGCATGCAATACAGCTCATGTATATGCATGTTGCATACGTCCATCACTACATACCTCCATCGTGGAAGTGCTCTGCAAAAGGTAAGGGCTCCTCCATAGGAGTGGGGGGTGTAATTGTGTGTGAGGTTTTAAGCACTAATGGATGGATGCAGGATGCAAGTGGTGGACCTCAGGGAGAGACCCATTTCTCCAAACCACCAAGCCGCCATAGCATCAGATCAACAACTCTGCCTATTTGAAGAAATGAATACAGCTTTTAACTAACTGTGGAGAGCTGCTCCCCTCTGTGCCAAAATGCAAATCTGGCAGACAGCGAGGGCCAGATATTCGGTGTGAGATAGAATGCAATTCAACGCAACGTGAGGGCCAGATGAGTTGGAAATGTCTGCAGCTGTTAAATTGGCGGTTTGTGCCGCTTGCTAAAGCTATGGCGGTACTTAGAATGAGAGCAGCGGGTTCCAGACAAGATTAGGAACTAAATGCATCTCAGCTTTCGTCTAAGCACATAGCCTCCAACAAACTCCTAACATGTAGTAAAAATGGAATATTTTCTGTGATTGTAACAAATGTGGCGGAAGTCTGAGCCAGGGAATTATTAGCTCAGTGGGTGTTTTTACTGTGCTTACCCCATTCACTGGAAATAATCAGCTTCTTGCTTTGTAATTTCTAGTATGTGTATCATGTCAGGCAGCCAGTACGAGTTAGCTCTGCTCTTTCTACTGAGCACGTGCACTGAGAGGCCCTCAAAAACACTAAGATGGCAACAGTTCAATAGGGGTCAAGGGGTGGTCATTGATGCTGTCTTCTCTCCCCCTGCCCCCTCCTCTTCCAGAGGAAGAGAGTACGGTACTCTGAGCTGGACTTCGAGGTAAGATCTCAGACCTCATCTCTTCTCATCAGCCTGCCTCAGCTTTCTTGTGCTTCTGCCAGGACATGAGTGATGCATAGAGGAGCAAACTCATTGCTTAACCCCTTCCTTCGCACATGTCTCCCCTGCCCTTAGAGATAGTTTCAGAGCTATATGTTGCTGTTTCTCCAACAATGACCTAAACAATGACCTTTTGAGCAAAACTGAAAAATAAAATCCTATCAGGTATGTGTTGTGCTTTTCAAGGGTCCTGGTTGAAGAAAGAGCAAAGTAGATTGCTTTGTGTGTCTGGGTGAACTCTAGTGACTGGGTTCTGGGTCACATGTGGCCTCAGTTTAGTTTACTGGTTGAAACTAGATGGCTGACGGGCCACACAATGTTTGTGTCAGAATGACCCACATGTCTTATGAATCTCCAGTCTCTCCGAAACCCTCCTCACAGAGGAACACCGCTCGGCCCATCATGGAGACAACTCCTCGGTACAGAGGGCAGGAGCGATGTAGGCCACTGCTGACCATTCTACTTGAGCAGCAGGTTTTCTAACGTAGTGACACATGAACACCATCTGCCACATCAGCTCCAAACATTAAAGTCCAGAAGTGCAGAGTGTAATGATTGTGGGCGCACCTGCACCATAACAAGGGGCTCGTCTGAGACTACTGTCCTGGACAAGCCTCCACATACAGTACGTCTCACCCCCATGCTGCTCTAGAAGGGACCAGCAACACTGGATGGATGCTCTTTATTCTTTTATTTTGTTTCTTGGAGGCATTTGAACTTAAGACGGAGCTGAGGCTTAACTCATTCACTGCCAGCCGTTTCCGGATTGCTAACGCCCTTCGCTGCCAGCGTTTCTCACTGTTTTTACAGTTTTTTTTAAGAGTCACAGAACGTTGCGCGCTAGGATGATGTTGACACCAAAACAACCAAAAACAAAGAGGAGACTCAACTCTTACATCAGGAAGAATCCGTGTGTTTTGAGCGTTATCCGTTCTTTCATAATTTGTTGTCGAATTGTGATCGGCAGACGCTTTTCCAGTTCGTGCCTCACTGTTTTTACAGGAACGGCCCAAAACGATCTCCTAACACATGGATGTTCTGCTTCCTGATCACGTGACGTGTGACGTATGCGGATGAAGATCGGCTTCAGGGCTGAGATGTTTGTTCTTTCACCGCGGGGACTCATTCCGATGCTCAAACAGTTAAAAAAAATGCAAATGACAACTTTAGTCATCATTGGCAGTGAATGAGTTAACTAGAGACCAAAGGTTTGAATGGAGCAGTCCCTCAAATTCATCTGACTGAGTCACATAAACAGGTGAACAGCAGAAAACTGCAAAACGAATACGGCATAAAAACACAAGATAAAGGAGTACACCAACAACTGGTGCAGTAGAAATGGACTTAATGACCGTGTTCCACCTGCAGGGCAAAAACTAAAGAAGTGTAGGAAAGCAGCACGGTCTCAGGAAACATCCTCGTGAGGAATATGTTAACAGTACACTTTCATAAATCTGAAGAAATGCTCTACAAATGTGATTTTGCATCTTAAGTTGGTCTACATGCAATAAATACATTTTAATATGGAGCTTAATGCTGTGTAGCTGCATCATGCTGACTTCTGTTTCCAAGTTTTATGGAAAAAAAGGTGCTTGATCTGACATTTTACACGTCACTGTTATTACCATCTCCTTCTCGAGGCTGTGGCTCATTTGGGTTCTATTTAGTATTCTGTAGAGCCTAACACTGCAAAGATACATAACAAGGAGACAGCAGAAACTTCCTAAAAAGCAAAGAGGAGAGCATCCTTTCTGAAGGAACCGGAGCCGGTGCTTAGCCCGAGTATTGGTGATTAGGTGGGTGGGTGTGAGCGCCCCGCGACCCTAAACTGCTCTGACGATTAGCCAATATTTAACAGCTGAAGTACTTCCCATTAACACACACAGATAAAAGTACTGGGAACCGCATTTATCTGCCTTTCAGGCATTTCAAATAAACAGCCTTTTATATTATATCCATGGCCGTGCTTCTCATAAGGACTAAAGTGGACGTTTAAAGCTAATTACGGTCTAAATGGTCAGACTTCTGTCCAGATTTTGGATTTTCAGTGAGTTTGACAAAAATTAACAGGATTTCCATTTAGCAGGCACCAATCTATGTTAATGGCGTTTTTGTCAGTCATTGGACCTGAATTTCCATTTAAAAGACTCTTCTGCACCAATCCCAGTTGCCAAATTCTAAAAGACTGAGGAAGTGGATGATAGATGAGCATGAGTCAGCAATCGATCGATCTGTCGGCGCCCCTCTCTAACTCTTCCCCTCTTTTTCATGGCTGGCATTGCTGCAGTCCCTCAGCGTTTTCCCCACACCCCTTTCTGTCCCTACATGACCTCCTGCACACAACCTCCATTCTTTATTTTTGTTCTTTTTCTTTCTTTTGGTTTGTTTTTATTCATCTTTGCTGTCCCTTCCTTTTTTCCCTTCCAGAAAGTGATGCACACTCGCAAAAGACATTCTGAGTTGTACCATGAGCTCAACCACTCGTCCAAGTTCCACACCATAGACAGGTATAACAGGGACCCAGCCATGTCCACATTCAAGGTAAGAGCATTGTCCAGAGGTGGGCCGGGAACCCACATGCACCTCCACTTTGTCACAAACCCCACTGCCCCATGCACAGAACCAAAGGCAGGAATATTACCGGCACGGATGCAATGCCGCAGCTTCCGGGCCATCATGAGCATAAATATTCTGAGCAAATCCTTTAGTCATTTACAAACATGAGGTACTTTTGGCAGTGGTTGGATTGTTTTCTCGTTTTTCCCAGTTAAATTGCAGCTTTGGAAATCTCAAAACATTCAAATCCCTTTGATAGAGCAGCCAGAGTCATGTGAGTGCCACATATATTCTCAGTGGCGTTTGATTAATTCACTCGTGCTCTTATTATCACAACCGTGAAGAATCGAACAATAACTACCTCATAAATATTCCTTCAGAGGCACGTTTCGCTCCAGCTTTCATACTGTAAATGAATTTTAGACCTGGTGTAATTGGCCTGAACTTAATTCGCTTGGAGCTGTATTAAAACCCCTTTAAAAGAGGTTGATCACATGAGCTGTTAGTGGAGGGATAATCAATCTCAGGTGCTTAATGAAATCCAAACTCTGCAGTTGAAGACCTGTGGAACAATTAGTCTCTCTTATCAAACCACCTCACCAGAATGACTTAAGTTTACGGCTGTACACACACTTAGTCAGTCTGTGTTTGATTCTATATCATTGTCTTTGTTCTGTATTTGGCCTGTCTCTTTCTAGTGTGTGTGTGTGTGTGTGTGTGTGTGTGTGTGTGTGTGTGTGTGTGTGTGTGTGTGTGTGTGTGTGTGTGTGTGTGTGTGTGGCGGGGACCCGTGAGAGTGATTGGTTAGTTAGCTGTGTGAGACGGCGAGCTGCTCCAGCGGCCACGTTCCCGTACGAGACACGGAAACATCTTTGAATCATTAATACTCCATTAGACGCAGACATAACAGTCCCAGCTTGCTCCGCGCTGACCTTCAGAGGGCCACTTTCATTAGGTGTTAAACGCATGCTCACACTCCTCTCCTCAGCGCATAGGGCCGTGATAAGTTAGTCAGCGCTGATAGCATAGGTGTACTTTCCCCACCATCAGCCCCCATGCTGCTTCACATCTAATTTACAGCTCAGGAACGGCAGCAGAAGCTAGTCTGACATCTTTCATTTGCACGTACCACCTTTCTCCAGTGCTTGAACTGCATCCTTGTTCATTTGTTGCTCAAAGCGTTGAGTGTAGTTTTAGGAAATGTTGGACAACTCACTGTCTAACATGCTAAGTTAATATTGTATGGGAGGAAAACAAAACCAGCGAACTCTTGTGATGCTATATTAGAAGCCTTCGGCTCCTGGAAATGAACGCTGCTGCATGCTAGTTTGACTTAAACGGAGGTCAACTTCCTCTTGTCTTTTGGCGATGGGTAAAAACACTAATAATTAGAATAATTAAAGACCAGTCACAAATAATAAATAGGTTGTTTAAGCTGAGACAAACCAGAGCCCACATTTCCGTTTGGTTGTTGACGTAAGTAGGTCTGGAGCTATGGGAAAGGGCAGCGTTGGTCTGGCTCGCTCTATAAAATCCATGCTGTTAAAAATAAGTAGGCAGTTCACTTAAGTGTGAATAATTACAGGGATAATGCTATCAGTGTCAGGCCTTTGACAAGCCCAGCTTGAGTTCAGCTCTGCTGTTGTCAACGACTCACTGAGAGTCACCCCCAGACACGGGCACGCTGACTATACGCTAATTATGGAGATTAGAGGAGTGTGTGTGTGTGTGTGTGTGTGTGTGTGTGTGTGTGTGTGTGTGTGTGTGTGTGTGTGTGTGTGTGTGTGTGTGCACATATTAGGGGCATGCATGTGTGTGAGTTTTTGTATCCATTTGTTCTTTTGTGTTTTTTCTGTCCCGCGTCGCAATAATACACAACCTCTGCTTGGAGCACATACAGCCTGTGTAGAAGATAAACATGGCATGCATAATGATAACATCACTTCATGTTAATTATCATAATCTGTGTACAACAGTGTCAGTGATGTTCACATATAGTTTGAGCGTTATTTCATAGCCACAACAACCATGTCTCTTCATATCTGCACTCATGCTGCTGTTAAAGTGGAAATGCTCCGCCTCTTCTGGCTAATTGATTTTGTCACCAAAGGACAGGCTTTACTGAGTGTCTCACCTTCAGATGGCTGCTGGCTGAACACACCCAAGAATAAGAGAAAACCTCTAACCTGCCTGATGAAGAATGAAATGATGCTTCACAATCACATTAACCCATTGCTCATTCTATAACATTGTTTTTTTCCCCTAAACTCCTAAACCCATATCACATTCCTAACCACCCTGGCTGGTGTTCGTCCACCACAGGTTCCCTCTCCCCCACCACCGAGGCATAACACAGAGCCATCGCTAGCGCGCAGACCGTCTCTTGTTTACAAAGAAAGTCAACGTAAGGCATCCTAAAGCTTCCATAAAGTAGAGTCCCACTAACTCCAACTAAACGTAGGCCTAACCTAACGCTACAGGCTTCAGTAGTGTGATGCTGTTTGTTGTAGAGTTGTACGTTTATCTAGCACACACACAACTGGCTCTAGGATACATCATCTAGTCTGGAAGTAACCATTCAGTCGTCTCTTTAAAACTGTAGCTAGACCTGTCAAGTTTTCATATCTGCCAGTGTCAGTGCAACTGAACATTTTTAGCAGCTTATCTATTTTGTTATTTTTATGTTTTACAAAAACAAAATAGGATCGAGAGAATTAGCAGATGCTAGCTTGTCTTACTACCCCAACACTGGCCTGGTTGAAAGCCACTATTTAGTTTATGGAGACCAAAAGTTGCATTGAAAGGACTGCTCCTTGTTGTCTTGGTTACTAAATAATCGTATTGACACTTTTTTTATATAAGTCCTAAGACTTGTGTCCATCAGCACATCAGAAAGCTGAAGTATTGTCCTAAAAAGACTCACATCGTTTGTGCTTTTTTAAAAATGCACATACATGTGTTAGTGTGGCTGAAGACAAACTGGCTCCGATCGAGCCGAAGCGCCCAGATAATGCGGTAGCGATCCAAGTACATTCTGTATGTAAACGGGTCTGAACCGAACCTGAACTGAACCGGTTGGATGGTCACGTTTCGCTTCAGTCCCACCAGCCTGTGTTGACTGCTTGTGTTGCTATAAGCTAGAAGCTACCTTTCTCAGTGGTCTAGTGGTAGAGTGTCCGCCCTGAGACTGGGAGATTAGGGGTTCGATTCCTGGTCGGGTCATACCAAAGACTTTGAAAAAAAAAAAAGGGACCCAATGCCTCCCTGCTTGACACTCAGCATTAAAGGGTTGGATTGGGGGGGTTAAACCACCAAATGGTTCCCGAGCGCAGCTGTGTCTGCAGCTCACCGCTCCCCCAGGGGATGCGTCAAGTGCGGAGAACAAATTTTGCACACACACCTGTGTGTGTGACAACTAATGGGACTTTAACTTTAACTAGAATGCTGACATGAAAGGACGCCACCTACTGAACTCGAGTGGAACAAACTTTATTTGAGAGGTTGGTTTTCTAATGCGCATTTAACTAGGATAAAGACTCTCCACTGATTAGATAGACCTGGATCGACTTAGATGTTGGTCAGGGCCCATGTGACCACACTGGATGTGTGGCTTTATCTGTCTAAAGCTTCACCGTGCCTTTTCCAGCCGTCCTAGACAAATCCCTTGTTGTCTATAGCTATGGCTGTGCAACAGCTCACTGAGCAGTCTCAAGACCAAATTCTGCCTCCAACAGTCTTGAAGCACTTCTTAAAAACCGACGACTCCTGTCTGTAATCAGAGAGACATTAGCAACAGGGGAGGATACATGCTGGAACTTGTGGATCACTCCATTTTGTAATTTGGTAAATAAAAGAAGGGTGGTGCTTTTTTCTCTTTCCAGCGTTGCTTTTAGTGACCTTTGCTTTTGGGGGGAGTACGCTTGTGATGTTAGCGTGTCCTGCTAGAGCAAGACATCATGCAGCTTCACCTCTCTAGGGTTCGCAGTGTGACATGAAGCAGTCTCATTTGACGGGCAAAAATGCTGTGTGGTCCAGGCTTATCAGAGCTCAAAAGCATCCTTTCATTACCCAAAATGAGTCAGTGTCTGACATGAACCTTATGTAAGCGGTTCATAGTTACTAATGATGCTGTTTTTATTTCACAATAAAGGCAACTGTTAAGATGATTTTATGTAAACTAAATGTTCTAGACTTTGTACAGGAAAACCTGGAGGCTGTCTTTGTATGAATGTCTGAAACTCCAGTTGTTGCATAATTACTGTACAAAGTACCTTCTGTCTGGATGTTTCAGTGTACTTAAGTAATACTGAAATAACTTCAAAACCTACAATATTCATCCCAGGACATGGAACTAGTTCCTTAGCTATTTTCCGCTTTCAGTTTGGAAAATCAAGTGACCTGCCTGAGAAAACGGCTGATTCAGTAAAGAAATTCATAGTGATAATTCCTCTCTTGCCACAATAAACTGCCCCAGTGAAGATTATTAACACAAAGCTTAACAGGTCGAGCTGCAGTACTTAAGAGATGATATATTTAATCTTCCATTAGCCTTTAATCCACACGTAACTCCAGAAAACATTGTACTTTATTACTGAGACAACTGTAGAACAAACAGTGTCAGATTATACATTTATTTCATGCAGTTGCTCATCTGCTACATTTCAGTGTTCCTTCATTGTGAAGTGATCGTAATGCGAAAAGTGTGGTGATGTACCAGTTCAGTGCATCGTAGTGAATACCCTTTTGTACTTCAGCATTCAGATGGTGGATGCTGGTTTCCATTCCTTCATCAGCCCCTGTGCAAATTCCTATTGAACAAAAAACTGGAACTTATGCACCGAGAGAAAAGGATTTGTAGGGTGGCTTGATTCAGGACTGGATTTCTCCTTCATGACAAAATCCCTGTTTCAATGTGTGTTTGTCTTTGTTTGTTTGTTTGTTTGTGCACATTTTGTTCCATTTCTGTGATTTTTGGGTGTGACCAACATATATACCATATGTGTAAATATTGACCAAGTTATTCTCATTCTGAGTGAGAAATCTGTTCAAAGACAACGGCCCATTCACAAACCAATTTCTAATCATCCCATGAACCATAATACTCTGTCCATTAGCTGGCTCACTGGTGGGAAATGAATCAGATGAATACTAATGGATAAAAATGGATTAGAGGATTCAGGATTGGAAAAGACGTGACCCGTTCACTTTGGAAAGTTAACATCACTGCGTTGGATGTGCTGAGGAGACGAGTGGATGTCAGAAAGTTTATGACACACCATTCCATGTGTGGGCTTCAAATAGTCGTGGGCAATGGTAAATGGCCTGTGTGTGATATGGCACCTCCAAGGGTTCTAACCCCCCCCCCAAGGTGCTTTACAAATCAATGAGTCCTTCACCTACACAAACACTCACACGCTGATGGTGATCAGCTGCTCCGTAGCCACTAACACTGGCGCCACCGGTCCCTCCGATGTAAAAATGTAATAAATATACCTTTAGAGAAAATCAGCATGTCTAAAAACGGAGTTATTTATATTTGTTCACTTTCTCTCCTCACCTCTCGAACCCACTCTGTTGTTTTCCTGTGACCTGGATGACCCCCGGTGACTATCACGCCAGTGGTTACCGCTCAGATTGCCTGAGGATGTGACGTAATGAATGCGTGTTCTGCCTAATGGACCGAGACGAGTAGGAAGGATGTTGGGGGAAGGGGGCTTACACCTTGGTGTTGAAGCCAGCAGAGCTGCTCTTGTATCACAGAAATAAAAATGTTGCCCCATGGCTAACCATTGTTACTGACAGACTGTGACATGCAAACACACTCCTGCTGCGTTTCAACACCCGTACGCATGTTTGATGCAGACAGACGTTCAACTATTTAGCATTCTGACAAACTAGCTCTCGTAACTGTTCATCTTGTTTCTTGGTGGTTAGTTTTTGTTGCTGACCCAAAACAACAGCTGCTGGACTGGAATCAAGTGGGGTTTTTTTGTTTATTTTTTTGACATACGTGCGATGTTTGCTCCCGGTTTGAAGCCTTTCTGCATTGATAACACTTGTATGACACTCTGCTGAAGAGGACGGCAAGTGGGCTTCACTTTAATGCTAATGGTAACAACAAATTCAAACTGTGCACTGTTTTAAGTGCAGCGGCTGCTCTGGCTGGAGCCGTGTGACCAGCAGATGGATTGAGTCCATTTTTCTGAGTGTATTCCACAATGTAGACGTGAAACAAATGGAGTCACCGGGGTTACTAAAAGCTGTAATGTTTATGTGAGTGCTTATGTTAGCATTTAGAGCAGCATCTTGGTCTTGGCCACCGTCGAGTTAGCCTGCTGTTTGCTATCCTTTTCCACTCAGTTCAGAAAGTCAAAGCACACATTTGCATGCAGTGCTTGCTGATGCAGCTTTGTGTATGAAGGGTGGGCGGGTGGGTGAGAGTTGGAAAGAGTTTGCACCGTGTAATGGGTTGGCACCTAAATCTAACCTCACACACAGGATTTGTATTTCTGTCCAGTTTAGTGGTGTTCCTGATTAGGTGAGACACCCGCTGGTTTCATGAGACGATGGTGAAGGGAGCTGTGTAGAGCACCATCACTGATGCTGGATCAGATCCAGTTCTGTGGAGAAACAAATAGCATCCTGTAGATATGTTGTGTTTGCTCTTATTTCACCTGCAAACACATTTTCATGTCAGTCAAAGATAGCGAGTGAGAACAAAATGCAGTTTTAAACTATTATTTCATTTTTATTCTTTTGTTTAAAAAAAAAGTCCAAACCAACCGGACCCGATGTGGAAAAGTAATTGTTAAATCCCGAGTTGGTACCAGCTCACCCAGACCTGACTACTGCCAAAAGGCAGCGCATCTCCCTTTGTCCTGAAGAAAAATAACCCAGAAGAGCTTGGTTAGGGTTTGTTCTGGTTGGATATGCAGCAGAACAACGTTCCACGGTAAGCATGTCCACCTCAGAAGATCAGAGAAGAAGCAAACTAAGGTTCTGTATGACCTTATGACCCTTTCATTTTCCAAGAGTGGGACACCGTTCCTCCACAGTGGTGTGAACTATGCAGTTTGTATTTACTCTGAGATGAAAATAAACGTGCTTGTGTGAAACACTCCGATGCGCCAGGAGGGCCACTCTATCCACGATCCAGCAGAGATGGCTCCTGTAGGCTGTGATGAAACTAGGGCCCGACCGATATGCTTCTTTAGGGACTGATACCGATACCGATATAAAACTTTTAACAAAGGCTGATAGCCGATAAAATGGCCGATATATCTCTCTCACAAAAAATAAATAAATAAATACATTTTTCTTAAGCTTAAACCCTTCATTCTCTGCCTTTTAGATGCAAACTTATTTCTCTATTACACACCAAAGAACCCTAGCCTCAGTAACTCA